TCGTCTGGGTCTCCGAATTCGACTATCACCGGCAGGTGGTCGGAGGATAGTTTATGTAGTACTCGTGATTGTGATATTGATGGGTGCACATTCTCATGCTAGAAGAAGTCGAGCAGACTGGGAGTATCACGTCCTGGGCGGATCGGTTCATCTGGTCTCCATACGGTAAAGTTTTGTCGGTCGGCACCTTCTTGGATAGCGAGTCCCTTGGAGTTAGTGAGGGAATCACCCCAGTCAGTGTTTTTGTCATTTGGCGATCTTGGAAAAAGGGCATCAAGATGGGCATCCATGATATTACGGTCTGGGCTGCGTAGATGGAGCCCACTAGTAGCGTCCGGCCTCTTGTTTGCAACGCCGTGAAGGTGCCTCCAAGTCCTGTTGTTAGGTTTGAGACATCGTGGTGTATGATGAGTGTCCTATCGCCTCTGCCGTCTCTGTCTTGACGGGTCACCATGTAGTTTTGTAGGGAGAAGCGGCCTGCAGGTTTGAGTTGCATTTCTTGGAGCCAGTGGCGGCCAGTGGCAACCTAGTGTGGTTGTGCGCTCTTGGAAATTTTTTTGGAGGTGCCACGTCCTGTTTTACATTTATTTTGTATGTTGATTTTTTTTCTTTTAACTTTAGGAAAAATGATCGAAAACAAAAATATATGTATTTAAATGAGGCTTGAATGTTTGTATTCTAGCCATAATACATAATTGATATTGAAATTTATAATTAAAAAAAAAACCGCGAACAACAGAGTTGTCAAACCGCCAAAATGGTGAAAAAACATCGAAATATTCTCGATTGAGTGGAAACAACATTGGAAGTGTGTATTCAAATAGCGCACGGCGCATCCCTTTCATCGGGCGACTTACCGCATATTTCCGATCAATCGCACAGCGAGAAAACACATCTACCCAGAGCGCCGAACGATTCCACACCGACCACCCGGACCACCAGCACAACCAAGCGGGAGAAAAAAATATACAAGACAGGCGCAGGGCGCGCTTTCGTTCCGTTCGTGCGAATTTAAAAATAGAAAAATGAGTAGATATTTATCCTAATTTAGAAAATTGGGTAGGTATTTCTTAATTGAAGTTTCTTTTCTTTCCAAAATTTTAATTTTATTTTCTTGCTTGGTTTTTGGAGGCAGTGCGCGCGCACGAGCGCACTTATTGAGAAGCCGCCCCTGCTTGGAGCAGAAGAACATCAACCGGATGTTCCTCCAGGAAATTTTCCAGTTCGATCTTCCTTTGCTTGATTGAACCACAGTTCCAGGTTGCGATGCGGAGAAAATGGAGTACAGTAGGGTGTTCAAACATTCAGTTTTTTGTTCTAGGATAGCATGGCGTTCAGATGTTGCTGAATGGAATTCATTTGACGCATTAGGGATTCCAATGATGGCGATTGTTGCTGTTGTTGGCGATGCTATTCCTGGTTACATGTGGCTGCCTCCTCCCTGGGTTTGGTACAGGTAGAAGAGTGATGGTGATTGCCGGCGTATTTGGGAATAGCTTGGGACTTGGATTGTGAGTATCCGTAGAGTGGCATCTGTGACATTGCGTGGATCACTCATGTATACGTTGCGTTTCAACTCTCACTCTTATGTGGTTGATATAGTTGAGCTTGTATATCGAAGTCTCAACGATCGGTAGGATCACCAGTACAAGCGCTGCTGGGGCTCCCTTGACATTGTACCATCTTATGACGGATGATGGGTGTAGGTGTTTATCTCAAGTTCTTCTTCAATGAAGTCGGTCGTCCAGTCTATTAGTGGACCTCGGATGACTACCCTTAGCATCTTTTCCTCTGGGAGAGAGGAGTGGAACTATTCACCGTTTTTCTCGAGGAAGGCCTGCATTAGTCTGTAGTCCTCTATTGAAGTGGGATGCATCTTGACCTCCTCGCTGGTGTTGGTTGCCGGGCCGAACGAAATTTTCTGCGCCTTGAAATGGGCAGTAATTTCGTTGTATTTATTTTTGTTCCTTGGAACAATTGGGGGATTATTTCCCGTGGAGGAAGAGGAGCCGGGATTGTGACCAGTGGCGACGCCAGGGTTTTATGTTAGGGGGGGCCAGACTGGGCCAGAAAAAATTAGGGGGGGCCAGACTGGGGCAGAAAAATTTAGGGGGGGACACTTGATTTTACTTTATTGCTTTGCTTTGGTACCCTATTTTAATCAATTTAATTCAAAAACGCTATGCATGGTAATATTGAGGTAATAAAAAACAGAGAAGTAGGTATAGGTGATAAAGATCAACTTTAATAACCTCAATTATCTAGGTATATTGAAACATACAAAAAAAAAACAGCAAGACATATCCAAGTAAAAATAGTTATTTTCCTAACAAGTGCGCAAAGTGTTAATTTTCCGCAAGCAAACCCAGTTTGTATAGATGATATAGAAACAGAGGAAACATTTTTCATCATTTGTCAAAGTCGACAAGGTGCACTTATTGTTGCTTGATAATTAGTTTTACTTTTTTGCACTCAATGCGGATGAAGACCTTATGCGCACAGAGTGCGAAAAAGTGTAACTTTAAGCACGGAAATGCGTGCGGAAAATGGAAAACTACTACTTACCGAAACCTAAAACCTGAAGCAGTAAAATTCTTCGGTTATTATGATTTTTAGCAAAAGTATCAACAATATTATCGAGATTCATATTATATACAGTGTGTCCCACTTTTCATGAATACACCCTGATATCTCAGTTAGTAATGATGCGATTTTATTCAAATTTTGGTGGTGATTGTATGTTAGAAAAATGAACTATTTGACATAGTAAACATTTTTATTTACCATTGGCGTGCGGTGTTGGGGGGTAAAAAGGGGTTGTATTTTTGGGAAAAAGATATTAGGGCATATTTTAGATAATTTTTTGTATCAGATTAAAAATCAGCGTCCCCAAAAACCCCTTAATTCATATTTTAAAAATCTTGCGAGATGATTTTAGCAAAAAAATTAATAAATTCATTTTAATTTACATGCTCTAATAAGCTGTTTGGCAAATACATATGAAGTAAGGGGTTTTTGGGGATGCTGAATTTTAATCTGATGCAAAAAATTATCTAGAATAAGCCCTAATATCTTTTTCCCAAAAATACAACCCTTTTTCACCCCCCAACACGCACGCCAATGGTAAATAAAAATGTTTACTGTGTCAAATAGTTAATTTTTCTAAGATACACTCACCACCAAAATTTGAATAAAATCGCATTATTAATAACTGGGATATCGGGGTGTATTTATGAAAAGTGGGACACACTGTATATATTTGTATGGCATATCATATAACATTTTGTCATATTTTCGATGTAGACTTTTTTCATGCGACTTTTGGCACAAACGCAAGTTTTCAGGGTGGCCGGCTAAATTTCAGGGGGGGCCCCGGCCCCCCCCCTCGCCCCCCCCTGGCGTCGCCACTGATTGTGACTGGCGCTGGTGGCTTAATTAGGAATCTCTTTCTGGCTGGCACTTGGGGGGGGGGGGGGCGATGTTGTGGCGGTCGGGTTGGAAGCGACCGGGGCTTGGACCATGTTTCGGACAATGACCGTCGGATCGAGGGGCTTTTAGCGGGCTCTGGTTTTTGCTTAGGTTGCTTCCTTCTTGGTTGTGCAACTTCGCTGTTTGTAGAGTTCTTCCTCCGTTTAAATGTAGCGGACGTGACGGATTTGATGTCGCTAATGTCATGGTCATGATCACTGTCACAATTGGAATCCTCGCCAGAGGCCACTTCCATCACATGATCATCCAACAATTTGGTGAGGCGTTGGATCTGAGGCGTTTTGATTCCGTCCTGAGTCTTGCATGCACCGGCAGCGATTTTCAGCTTGTGGTTTTCGCTGGAGGTGGCTTCTACTGCTTGACGGAGAATGGCATTGCCATTTTGCAGTCGGACGACATTTTGTTTTAGTGCGTCATTTTCTTGACGAGGGCATTGGATTTCTTCTTGAAGTCCCTTGATTTGCTGTAAGATCTTCTGTTGCCACTCACTGGCATGAGGTGGACTCATGCTGAACTTTCACAACTTTCACTTCTTACATTTGATCACAAACTTCACTAATACACTTTGAAAAATATTCACTTGGAAAACTAGCAGAGTTCTCGGTAGCTAACCGTTTTTTGGCTACGATTTCTTCCAGCCTGAAAAGGACTGTTGCTTCGTTGCTTCAACGATACCAAGCACTCGACTGTAGTTGAATCTTGAGTTTCATTATCTAGTATAATCGATTCTGTAAATAGTAACACCTGTACTCTCTAATTGAGACAAGTATGCAAACGTATCTTATAACGGTAAATGATACTCACGGGTATAGAACAATCAAATCCCGCTGTTAGAGATGACGTCAATTAGGGGGCGCAGTTTAAAATCAACATGACAACGATATATTACCGCCTAGCTCAGTGCCCTATGACTCTAATAGCGACATAATGGCGGACTTGAGCGAACAGAAGAAGAACCACATGACAGAGATAGGTTTGGATCGCCTTCTGTGAGGAGACTGAAGATCACTCACAATCTGCAAGACTACAAAGCTCTAGCAAAACAGAAGGACTATAAACTCGGCCATGGCACCAACACCGCCAACTTACAAGAAATTCTGCTTATCAGCCATTTCCCCGGTTCGTCGATAATAGACGATAGTTAGACTTTCACGACAGGAAATTGCCAGACGAGATAACAGACCGATGTCGAATGGCAAAAAAAAAGTCGTTGAGCTTACTCACAAGTCTTCTCACATTTGTCTTCAATATACTCATTATATTATTTCTTTCTCATTGTTAGATACTCGACAGTCAGGTAGCTGCTGGAATAACTATTGAATTATATTTTAAACAGGGTCGGAGAGCCTACTGATATTTTCCAATATGTAGTGCCTCCATGGAGTTTATAAAGAAAAAACATTTTTTTTTGTGTAGACTTATTTTGCGAATACTTTTCAAGATTTTTATAGGGTTAAATTTAAGAAAATTTCAAAAATACGTAATAACACTTTTCTCAATTATTGTTTCAGGCAAGCAGATCCATTGCACGAAGTGGTTACCTATTCGTAGCGCCCGATTGGGACTTTTCAGTTCCTCTGAATAGAACGAAGGTAAGTTTTCCAGTTTTAGAAATTCAATAGACCTATAGACGACATGGAAAAGTATAGGTATTCAAAAACTTTACCCAACTATTTCAATGTCGGTAGGTACCTACCTACCATCAAGAATATTTAAGGTTTCCACATTTTTCTATTTCTATTCTTCTTGTTGTCTATTGTGTTTTTGCCTTGATAAATAATGCTTTCTATCTTTTTAATATTAACACTACAATCATTAAAGGTGTTAATTCGTTCGCTATACATTCAATAAATAATACACCAATGGTTATAACTAGTTTTGATCCTGTGAAATAAAGCCTGTAATTTTTCAATATATAATTTTTTCCCACTGTCTAATGTGTCCAAGGTGAGTGAGAAGTTGCGAAGAAGAATCGAGAAAACGAAGACGTGCCCATCGATGATGACGAGATTCTTTTGCGTGTTTATCAGATAGCGTTGCAACTTGCAATCGGGTTTAACACTTAACTTTTTCTTCTTTTTGCAATATGCGTATATACTCTCGACACCGGTCTCGACCTAATAAAATTTTCGTCCACACAAAGTCTGACCGATTCACAATTATTACATTTCTATTAGGTATTTATCTTTCACGGTCATGCACAAAACTGTTTTTCCCGTTCGAAAGGCTCTTTTGGTCTCCAGACTATAAATCAAAAAGTGAACGGTTCTTCGATTATGATGATGATGATGATGATGATCATGACGATGACTTATTTTTCTGGGTCCGCGAACATTTTGCAAAAAGATTTTTCGGACTCGAGACATAAAGCAAAAACATCATCAAATTGGTGATGAATTTAATTACCAATTAAATCCTAACGGAAATCACACACTAAAAAAGCAAAAAAGTCTCTATGTAGTTAATGTACCTAATTATTTCAAAACGACTGAGCAGGAATTAGAGCATCACCGTGTAGTTAGTAAATATCCTAAGCAAATCACTTGTTTTACTATTTAACTTATGCCCTAGTAATTTTGCGTGTTCTTGTGTCAAGATTTTACTTTCCCTTAGTTTTTTTTATTGGAAATTTATTGTTTTAATAATTATTTGGTCCAGCTTTCGCTATAGACGGATTTGAATGCGTTCCTTTTAAAAATACTTCGGTATCAGGTGGTATCCTTATTTGGGCACAAACAACCCTCAATATCTCTTTAATGGATGAAGAACTTTCGATTTTTGTTTTCAAGATTTTGGGGTTATTTATGTTCAATATGAAGTTTTATTGTGTAAGGGTCCTAGTCCAGAGCCCTACTATATATCCGAGTATATATCTGATGCTTGTGTATCTATCTATGCGCTGGACCTGAAAGCTCCCAATATTGGTTACTGAAATTTGGTCATAGTTACCCATCCTTTGGTAATCTGGAATTTCCAAGATCAGGCCTGTATTTTTATACTGAAATGATATTGATTTATACAATGCATGAATCGTTTCTCATTATAGGGTGCAATGTAAAGGATTTGTAATAAAATTAAATTAAAACAAACTGAAGGAAAGAGAGATATTAAGACAAATTTTTAAGGGTGCAAAACCCTTGAAGAAACCATTAAATAAGTAATAAATTAAATAGCCTAAACTCGGGTACTAGGTACATAAATAGATGGATAAAATTTTTAAAAAAATGTTGCCTTAAGCAGCGATTCAGTTAAGGAGATTTCAAAAGTATCCCTATTTGACAAAGTCCTGGACTGAATTGTAAGGGGCACGGACTAATTTGCATCAAAGAGCAGAGTGGAATATCCATGGAATCTCCAGCCAAATTTCCTTATGCAATAACAAAATTTTGAATCTCATACTTTAAAAATGACTTGAATTCCATGAGCACTGAACAGTTTTATAGAATCTTTTCATCGCAGAAAAAATTGTCATAGTGAACCGGAAATAGACATTTTACCGTGCGGAAATTTTGCATTGTCAACCGAAAAATGGACAAAATGGCAAATTACATTGTTTAAATCTTCAAACTATATGACCTGCTAAGTGAGTGAGATTATCTCCCTACAGACTAGAAACAGTCTGATACAAACTAAGATCAAAAATCAAAGCTTTCTAGGTTCCTGAGGACATGAAACACTATGACAATGTTGATTCGGCGGGAAATGAATAGGTACCTAGTCATTTTTTGTTTGTCAGGACTTATCAACTTTTTTCCGTAAAAATTAACAAAACTTTGAAGAGGGTTTCTCGTGTCCTTCTGGATTTACATATTTGGAATTTACTTACTGTCGTCGGGATAGTAGGACAAATAAAATCGGAATTTCTCACTCAGTTTTTATTTGTCCTACTATTCCGACAATCAGTAAGTAGATTCTAAATTAACAACACTTCTTACACTTGTAAAAAATTGTTGAGGTTGAAAATGGCTGATGTGATAATTTAAAACATAACATCTAGTAATTAATAATAAATAGTTGGCCAATATAGTAGCCGAGATATCCAAACTCGTAGTTTCTAAATGGCAATGGTAAATCAATGCACATGGGAATTTAGTTAAAACTTCTAATCTAGAATTATTTGCTACAAGAGCTTGGTGGTAGCCCCAAAACAATTCTAAAAGGTTAAGGCAAGGAGTGCTGCGTTGCCAAATTGACGTCAAAGTATTTTATTTTGTTTGGGTTAGATTTTCCTAACAGGTGCGGACAATGTTTATTGTTTAACGAGTGACGAAAATAGCAGTTTTTAAAATATGTAGGTAATGTTTTCAAGTTGCAGAAAATGATTTTTGACGAAAGTTGTTTATTTTTCAATGGTCAGAAAAAAAGTTTTTTGCAGATGCTAGTTTGTTTGTGCAATGAAAGATTTGGATTTTGTTGGAATTTTCGACATTTTTATATAACAATTATTATCAAAACCCAAGAATCGTGAACAGGATTGCCCATCCTAATAAGGCGTACGTTCACCAATTCTTGAGTAGGCAAGGTCTACGAGTGACGTCACCACAGCAGCTAATAGTGATGTCGTCACCCGCAGACCTCGATGGAGGGCTTGCGATTCAGGTTGTGCTGGTTATTTGAATTTTTCGTCGATTTTAAATGTAGAAAAGGTGATTTAAACAAGATTTTAACGTTTAGGAATTGGTTTTTTTGACCTATACTATAGTGCTTTGAACTTGAATAATGCATTTTACTCCAAGAGTTGAGGTCTGCGGCTGACATGGCAGTTGGCAGACACTTTTAGCTTTCAGCTCAATGAGCAGTCCTACTAGGGATTAAAAACAGGATACTGCCATTTTCTGGACACCTGAAGCAAAGATGATCCGTTTTTTTCCTACGAATATGCTGAAAAAAAAACTTTTGGCATGCACAAAGACTAATGAGTAATCTTTCCGCAGGCCCTTGGGAAAAATTGTGTTCCTAACCCTTACAAGAAATGGTATTTCCCGCACCTGTTAGATTTTTTTCGAATTTGATATGAAAAAATGTTCCGCCCTGTGGGAGAACAAACGACTTTCCAGTTCCACTCCAACCAAAAGGCAGTGCTTGCTCGTAGAAAAAAATTATTTATATATTTATTTATACAATCAAATTATAAAAGCTTATTATATTCTCTGTAAACTCGAAAGGCAGGGATAATAATAATAAAAAACTGTGGTGGCGTGCCGAGGCGCTGATTCCAGTCCCAACATGAAAATGCCAAAAATTGCAACGTTGCATATAAATTGTTTCGAGGCTACCACCACGACCAAGCTCTTGTGAATTTGCTTATCTCCTATGACCCACCCGTTTTTCAGATGTAATGTGTTTTTTATATGCAGGCAAATTAAGAAACGTTTCAAATTATACAAAATATCTATCTAACAAAAGTAGAATCGTAAATAAATGGTTAGTCTTCACCTGGTCATTTCTCGCAAATTAAAATAAATGAAATGTAAATGTGCACTTTCAATTTCTGTCTTTTGTGATACACGGGTATTTATTACACTCCTGTGTGTTGTGTGCGCAGCGTGCATAATGACTATTTTAAAATATGCGCAACGACACTTTAGAAATGTTAAATTCTTAATAAAACTGACCACAATATATACACAGTGGTTTATCTATGTTAACGCCAAATTATAATGTTTACTTGCCCATCTAAAGGCTTTTCTCTAATAGTATTACACCGTGTATAATATAACTCGTTAAATTAAAAAAGACAAGTTGCCAAGCCACACACGCACACTGTACGTCTCTTCTTTGAATTTTTATTACCTATCGGGGTATTATTTACTTAGAAATATTATGTTACCGCATCGTGAATAATATTTCGGCTTTTCAACATGGCACCGCAACAACAACCAACAACTTTACAGTTTTAAATAATGCGGAAGCGAATTGTTGTGGGTAATTTTAGAGTAGTACCCAAGGAAAACGGTCACGATGATGGTCAAAATAGTACTTATTTTGGAATTTTTCCTAAGTAGGCATAGTAGAAAAATACATACACACACACACACACATATACATGTTCGTGTTGGCACAGGCATTCGGTTTCAAATCAATGCGGTTTTGAATGCCACATATTGCGGTTATTTATAGTGAGCACTGAGCAGGAAGCGTATATTATGTGCAATGTGCAACTATTACAGAATTCGTGTTTATTGTTTTGTTATTGAGGATACGGAATGCAAGGAGCCATTAGAGAGATTTAAACCAAGCAAAAATAACGAAACATTTGGGTCGATGTTATGGTTGCATTTATTGAGGATATTAAATGAAAGAAGAGCTAACCACTACTAAAGCTTCCTTTTGCGATGATATGTTGCCGTGACGACAACGTTATTATATTACGAAGAGTTTTCATATTTATAAAAGTAAGATAGTGAAGTCGAAAGATTATGCCATAAAACTTCGGCTACTCAGGGCTCGGGAAAAAAATTAAGAACATTAACCACTTTAGCGTTATACATATACAGAAACTTTTTGCTGTTTCAGCAACTTCTATATTTTTCTATTCAGAGCAGTCTGGATACAGTTTTTGCCAGCCGTCTGTTGGTCCATGAGCATTCTT